CATACAGCATCTAATGAAGCATGCAGCATTACAACAAGCCGCCTCCATCGCAGATTAATTGTTCAACTTTTTAAATGAAATGTCATGATGAAGAGGTAAAGAATTGCCTGAATGGATGACTCAGAAGTTTTTCTAATTTCATCTGGTAAATGGTTTCAAATTATGGGGGCTTAATGGCTTACATGTCTTTTATAGATTGTATTGCAGGGTGCCAATGTTCATACAAGGAAATTATATTTTGGAGCTTATTTTGATCATCTTACATTTACGTTTTTGTAGAGGATACTTTTCGTGTGACTTACAAATTATGGTTTATACAGAGAGAAGTATATAAGAAACAGGTAAATAAGCATGAAAGGTGCAGGTTTAAGATAATAAATCAATTAAAATAGTAAATGCTGGAATAGAGATCAGAAAATAAAAGCATTTTTTAATGTATTTAGTTACAATGAGTGCTCTTGAGATAATAAAATCATAAAGCAATATTTTTGCAAAAAAAAAAAAAGAAGCTTAGATTGAAACTGAGATTTAGATTAATAAAACAGATCTTGGTTAGGTCAAGCAACCTGTCTATAATGATAGAAATGTTATTCTGTTTTGAGATATGTAGAGATGCAGAAGCAGACTAGCTGAGCTGCATACAATGATTTTAATGTCCACACCTAACCTCACCCCTAACCATTCTCCTCACAGTGCTGAGATTGCGTGTCTGAGACTGCATGTCTCATGCAGCTTGCATATCTGCATCCAGATACTATTGGAGGGTTCCGTCCTGATATTCTCTCCATTTAAATAACTGGAGCATCTGAGAAAGCAAAGCGTGGAATATTGGAATCTTCATGCTCTCAACTGTGCGAGAACATGATCTTTACTTAAATCCCTACTGATTTAGGCTATTGTCATAATGTCACCCGCCCGACTGGTTTAGTGGTCTATATAATATACATTATACATATTTTATACAAATTTACATAATTGCCATTTCCAACCATAGTTTTCATGTGTAAATTACATACTAATGTTAACGCTTCATAAGTTGCAAATATAAATAGGAAATTTTACCTGAAGGTGGTAGAACTGGGGTTCACATCTCACCGCTCACCAGTGTGCTTTGATTCAATCACTTCTGAGGTTCATTTTAAAAAGGAGATTCAAGTGACTCTGAGTTTAAACTTGAACTCTGAATTGAGTAACTCGGAGATGGGAAACCTTTCAGTATCGGATCAGCTAAATAGAGTTAAGGTAACTCAACACTAAGTAGGCTGACTCTAATTTAAGTGTGTGCTCAGAGACCATAAAAAGCCATCATCAGTGGAGCTCCGATGTAATGATTCACCATGGCAATGGCATATGAGACAAGTGTAATTCTTATCACTGTTGCTGAATTAAATGGCTATTCTTACAAATTTAAAATTGTTTTTTTAAATATGTTTTTAAAAAAATTATAAATATACAATATTTATAAATAAAAAATAATTTACATTATTAATATATAATTTATATAAATATAGTTTATATATTATTATACTATTTATAAATATAAATTTAATTTAAAAAAAAAATTAAAATATACTATATAGATATTGCTCAAATATAATATAAATCCAAAAACCTACACTGAAAAACATTATTCGAAGATAATTCCTTGGACTTAAGTTAAGCTGTTGTAAACAATTTAAACAAAAAATGAAGTTGAACATTACTAAATTTAATTTGTTTGTTTAGATTCAACACAAATTGTTTGCAACAATTTTGTAGACATCATTTTTTTCAGTGTATCCCTGGAACCATTATTTTAAGTCTAGTTAACTTAGTGTAATGAAAATAAAATAATTTTAACATTTATATTTTGATGAACAGTTAACATTAAATGTTGAAGTTAAATTTAATCTCAAATTTTCCAAAATCACTTTTATTATTATTATTATTATTATTATTATTATTTTGAAGTGATGCTTTAGGTAAAACATTTTTTGTACCCCAAAGAGCCTTTTAGTAATCAGTTTCTCCAAAGAACAGATTTTTTTTAAGTATATATAAAGATTATAAAGAACCTTCTGTGCAATGGAAATACTTTTTTGGATTTTCAAGGTTTTTCAGTGAACCATCAATACTAATAAAGATCTGTAGCTTTTATGAGTTAGGGTTAGCCTAACCATGTTTATTAAAGTTAAACCATGGATACCTGAACATACAGTAAACTAGTTTTAACAGTTGTAGTAAAACTGTGGTTATACAAATGATAACCATTGTGCCACTAGTTACCAAATAAAAACAATGGTTCATTTTCATCAGTGACTATTAAAACAGTAGTGACAACAAATGTCCTTAATGTGTAAAACTGTACATTACTTACCGCTGACAACTTTTGTGTGTATATTAGATTAAAAACGCAAAAAGAGCGCAACCATTCCATCTATTCTATTCTTAAACTGTTGAAAACATCCAGGTTATGTTAACAGATTGCCTAAAAAGTTTACAATTAGTGCTGTCAATGAATTTTGCTGTTAATACTTCCTCTGACAAGTAGATTTGATGAGACCAACTTTTCTTCTGTAAGTGAAGCCTCCTCTTTGACTGAATTAATAGGCACTGTTTAAAATGTAACTTTAAGCATATTTTGTCATTCTAACAATGCATATTTGGTAGAATATTTCCAGTAGCTTGTTGAAGCTATGCCACAAAAGATTTAGGCAAAAAAAGGGTCCAATCCGGTACTAGTAAGGTGTACCTAATAAAGTGGCCGGTAAGTGTATATTATTATTAAAGGAGCAATATGCGATTGTCTTCTGAAACAGTCTTTGTTATGCCAGTTTGAAGTCTCTTTACATCTTCATAGGAGTCAATCAAAACATTTGTTCCGAACATTATAATAGTTTGTTCTACATGACTTTTTTTAAAATGCGTAATTCCATATCTCTACACACACTGTTCATGCAGAAAGAATTACCTAATCATTGCAATCAGGGACACGTTACATACAGAGAACAGAAGCTAAACATTCATTTTCCATCGGCTTAGTCCCTTTATTAATCTGGGGTCGCCACAGCGGAATGAACCGCCAACTTATCCAGCATATGTTTTATGCAGATTTAAGAATTGTTTAATTAATGTGGGGAAGAATGGGGACGGTTGTAACATGGGGCAGTTGCAACAACAATTATTCCTCCATTCAGGAATGAGCTAGAGTGGTGATTCATACAACTTATATTCAGTTAGACTCAGGTCCAAAAGGGCCGCAGCTCTGCACAGTTTAGTTCCAACCCTAATTAAACACACCTGATCAAACTAATTGAGTCCTTCAGGCTTGTTTGAAACCTACAGGTAAGTGTGTTGGAGCAGGGTTGGAACTAAACTGTCCAGGAATTGAGTTTGACACCCCTGAGTTAGACCTTACTTCAATTTAGGCTTGATAATTGGTCGCTGCTTGTTCTGATCATAGTCTGTATTTATATGGCTAATTTAAAACAATTCAAAATTAAACCCACTTACATTTAGTCTGTTTAGCAAAAAATAAAATCCAACCTGATGTTTTATTTATTTATTTTTTTATTACATTTTAATCTTCTCGAGGTCACTCAGTTTCAACGTTGGACTTTGTTCAAGTTTAAATTCTGCTTATATTATCATATGTACACATGTTATAGCAATGTGGGTGGGTGTCCAATAGATGTGAGTCTATATTAAAATATTGGGTTTCTACAAAAACTGTCTCTGATAAACTGAAGGAAACGCAAAAAGTGTTGCAACTATCCCTCCTACTTAAAATACAATTGAATACTTAAAAAGAAAAGCATTTTTTCAGTGTGTGCATGAAGGAATACAATATTTAAACAGCTTTCACTTAAAAAAAGAGAGAGGAAACTATCTTTACTGAATAAAACCTGCTGCTGACCAGGTTCATACAGTAAGCTACCTCAGTAACTGACTTAGAGTGCAAGTTACCTGCCAATTAGAAATGGGATTGACTTACTCCACTTTCCCAGTTTTAACATACCTCCCTTTTTGAAGTGGAAAACGCAGTTTTAACGTAATCTGCTTTCTGACATGGTCCCCTAGCCGCATTCCCTATATCTCCTTGCTATCTCAGCTCCACTTAGACTCATTCCTAGAAGTTAACACAGTTGTGGAGGGAATGTTGTATCGTGTCACATTGGGGCCATAATGATAATCCATTAATCAATCTATGTAGCCTACTGCATATAACAGGGCTGCTCAAACTTTTCCGTATGAAGGGCCAAAAATCAAATACCATAGAGAGCAGTGGGCCAAAATTTTATAAATAAATTGAAAAAAATACTTTAAATCATATTTACTAATGCGTTATAATTAAAAATTATTATTTATTACAATAAACAACATTTTTAACACAGTGGAGTTGAATGCTGAATTCACCAGTCAAGCAGAATCTGTCGTTGCCTTCATTTGCTCACTGATGTCTCTGCATTGTTCTTTATCCGTCGGGTGACAGTACGTACATTTTAAATAAATCCGATTTATTCACTACATTAATAAAAGATTTCAGTTAGTTTTTTTGTAGCTTAGCAATAAAACAAACAAACAAAAGCTTACATTAAATTAGAAATTACAGTCTCTAAACCACCCACCCTCTCTTAATTCCCTCTCTTTTCTGATGAAATTGTGGGCCAAATCAAACCCTCGTTTGGCCATCTCTGCTATAACGTATAAAATAGGAATATGAAATGAATAGTCTTAGAGCAACTCTTGTAAACACTTTAATCATAATATTTTCACTTTGGACCAGAATTTGCACAGAATGTACACTTAAATACAAAATACATTACTATTTTACCCCATTCCATTGCATTTTACATTTCAAAATTAATTGGTGCGTCAAACATTCACCCAACAGCACACAGGTGTAACATATCGTGAAGCTGAAACTATCCAGATTGTAAAAACTTGCATGATTTTAATTTCTGTATGGTCTGTCCCTTTAACTGACATTTTGACAGGCATCAGTGCGTCTTGTCTGCTCTCCAGCTCCACCTGCTGGCCGACACAATAAGATTCTGTTTGTATTTCTGAGATTGTCAAGCGTCTATATATATATATATATATACCCTCAAAGTGTTCCTTTCATTTCATCATGTAATGTATTGTTCTAACAACAAATGAACTCACAGGCAGGCCTACATGCAGGTAAACTACAAGGACAAAATGGCCCATTCCATCCATTCAGGACCTCTCTCTCTCTCCCCTGACAATGAGCGTTTTCCACAGCTCCGTGTTGTTCGCTGTTTCTGCGTCTTTCTGCACGCAGCAGGTGACGTTTGGAAGAGGAGTGGCCTTCGGGCACGTGTTGTTAAGGAAGGATGATGATTTAAGAACAGTTAACCGAGTGTCCATCTACAGCAGAATAGCGGACTCCATGCGCACGGCTTTATACCCGCGCCGCACTTAATCGCCGCGGCCGATTATATGTATTTATTTTCCTCTCCACCGATGGGTGAACAATGGAGAAGCCGTCAGCAGAAATTTCTGGCGACCCTCCTATTTTCCCATGCACCAGATCATTGTTTATGATGCTGTTGTTGTGTAGGAGGGCAGGGACGGACCTGATCTCGGCGGATTTCTGCTAGAAAACACTCCGAACTCGACGGGCTTTGACCGGCCACGCATCCTTCCAGATCTCGAGCAGCTGATGTTGGCGGTGCTGCCGCTCTCCTCCCGGCGAACATGATGAAATTCCCGGCTCTCACGCACTACTGGCCTCTCATCCGATTCCTGGTGCCTCTGGCCATTACCAACATCGCCATCGACCTCGGTGAACAGGCAAGTGTCAACGAATTGTGCGTGAAATGAATTCAGCGCTGCGTGATGTAAGATGTGTTGTGTATCCTTGAGCTGGACACTGCAGCAATGGCATCCGTCCGAGCTCTGCTTTTACATTATATAGTTTGGTTAGGGCCATCCTGAGCTCTTGTTTCCTATAAGGAATCAGGGGTCCTTTTTTGTAAACAGGGCATCATCACCATAAACAACATGAGCCCTCAGCTGTGTGTGTGTTCGTCAACAGCTGGCCTTACAGCTAGCGCATCCAGGAACATGGGAACAATGTAAAAGCAATCTGACAGAGATGAATGTGCACTTTTGGATGGGCTGATTTTTGTTGTCACCTCTGTGTGAACTGGCCTTGTTTTTGTCAACCATTAACGAATGTTGTTCTGCTTACAGTAGAGTATTTTTTCACAGTTACATGACTGAAACGCGTTACTGGCTACAAAAAAAAAAATTACATATTTTATTCATGACAGCCACATCTCATTTTAATGAGATATTATTCTTTCCGAGGCTTAATTAATCATTTTTGCAGAGTTGAAGTAGTTTTTATCATCATTTTAATGTCACACACACACTCATCAATATGTAATATATATTTTTAGTTTACTGGCATGTTAAAAGGACAGTTCACCCCAAAAACGAGCATTTATTCACTATTTACTAACCTTCAAGTGGTTCCAAACCTTTAAGAGTTACTTTATTCTCTTAAACACAAAACAAGATATTTTGAAGAAAGTGTAGTAGGATAAACAAATACCATTGAAGTCGATGGTTACAGCTTTCTAAAGTATATCTTCCTTTATGTTTATCAAAAGACAGAAAGTCAAACAGGTTTGGATGAAGTGAAGTGAATGAGGACAGTATTACAATTTTTTTGTGTGAATTGTCCCTTTAAACTCCGATATTTGTGTACAAGCGCAACAATTAGAGACAATGTAATAATTTTTATTGTGTAGATGTTCAGGCTTTTAAGTTTAATATGATATTCTTTCTTAGACACTTGGACTGCAAATAAAGCATAACTGACAAGTATATAATAATAATAATAACAGCATAATTAAATGGTAATACCACTTTAGAAGCCAAAAAAGTTTCTAAATTGGTTTAAAATATTGTTCATTACCAACATAGCAAATTAATTTGAACTAAAATTTTGTCACTTTGAAATTTATTTGTTATTGTTTTATTTATTATTTGTTAGTTTAATTAATTAATTTATATTTTCCAAGAAAGTCTCTTATCTCACTGTTCCAGGTGACAGATATTCTATTATCGCCATTGTAATACAATCTTTCACTTCTCGTAATGATATTGTAAGCTATTTAATTTTTTTTTAAAACATAAAATTAGAACATTTATAAAATATAAATAGTCATTTTCCTGGGAGGAATTGATAGGATTTCTGAAAAACTGAATAAAACATGGCCTTTTGATTTTCATAGATGCAAATTCATTTTTCATAAGCACTAATGGCAGAAAGAAGAAATGTGAGCAGGAGCCCTTACAGCCCACATGCTTACATCAACAGACAATCATTATCTCTCTGCACACTGATCTGAGGCGTTGGAGAAGAAGCAGCTGACAAAGAGTCAGAGTCAGAAGAATGAAGCAGATAAGCAGATAAAGCAAACATATAAACAGTTTTCTCCCCAAACAGCAGATTTTACAGGATGGTGGCACCAGGTTAGAGTCAAGGACAGGACAGCAAATTTAATTCATCATTACAAGAACACCTTTTAAAAACTTGTGAATGTCTAAGCGTTTTCCTGACTGGTTTGACATCTGACACATTTCTAAATCACCTGCTTCAATACAGGTTCATAATGTAGTCAGCCAAAACTGAGATGATGTCATTAAGCATTGTGAGATCATATTACGTGTATTACTTGTAATAAGGTACTAATGTTTCTACTTAGAAATGATATTTTGTAGCATTTGGACATTGCACTGTGATATTTAGTAGCACATGGCACAATCTTACACTTTGAAGTTGTGTTTTCACACATTATGGCTTTAAAAGATGGCAATGCAGTAAAGTAGGAAATTCTAGGTCAGTGGTCTTCTGCAACACAAAATTATCCAGCGTGGCAAAAACAGGCCCTCTGAGCTGGATGTTTTTCTAGAGCATGTGCCGTGAAAGGCAATAAAACATATGATGCAATTAAAACTTCTTGTTGCTAGGGCTGGGCGGTATGACCAAAACATGATTTCATGGTATGAGAACTTAACAATACCTTTCCCCATATACACTGTACTCAGTTAAAATAGTTGGGATAAAAATACCCCAACATACTGTATAACCCAAAAATAGGTTATTATAGCACCTTCCCAACTATGGGTTATTTTAACCCAATGCATTGGGTTATTTTGATTAAATGTTATTTTTTTCCCATTCTGGTATTGCTATTCTATTACTAGTAATACTAATAATTTTATATATAATGTCTGTGTAAATAAAAAACCTGATTTTTTTTTAAATATTGAAAACGTTTTATTTCCATTATATTTTAAGTTCTAGACACTTAAGGATTTTTCTCTGGTTAATATAGATCGGCTACGAAGCACACGGTATCATCAGTAATTAAGAGTGCTGGTAAAACGGATATAACAAACACGGCACGGAAAGGTAATTTGATTAACAAAAACAACAACTTTATTGCGTAATAGCTTAAATAAACCTTCCAACGTAAAAACAACAACACGTAGGATACAATACAGCTGTTTTGTGTCAGTTAAATCAGTTGACTGTTGAATTCCAATTTTTTTAACCCAACTGGTTGAGTTATTAAATAAATAACATAATAAAGAATAAAAAATAACCCAACAAAGCAACAAATTTTTGACCCAACTGGATGAGTTAATAATAAATAACCCAATAAAGTTTAAAATAACCCGGCTAATCCCTAAATATGTTTAATTCAACTATTGGGTTTAAATAAATTACTCAACATTTTTTAGAGTTTAAAAAAAGCTGGGATCCAGTCTATCGGGCCGATCAATCACCAATACTTCATCTCAATTATGGGACGATTTCAAGATATACCGCGGTTTGGAAAAGTCAAGGTTTTAAAACTGCTAAAATTTTCTGTTATTCCTAAGGTGTATGTAAGATAAAAAAAACATTTTTAGGACAACAGTATCTCCAGCAAAAAAAAATATCCGAAGGTACCATTTTAAATTGTGAAGAAATCTGTGTTTTTGATGATTCATTTGAATTATTTAGCTTGACATGTTTACTGCTTCAAAATATTAGAAATGTTTCCCATGCAGAAATATATATTGTGTTCAAAGGGAGTTTGTGGTAAAATTTTTTGTTTTGTTTTTTACCCAGACATTTAAAAAGAGCATATTTTAGAGCAGTTATCTAAATATTGTGATTTTTATCATATTTTTATCCAAGGTTATCACACCGTCAGAATCATATACCAGCCTGTGTGTAATCTCAATAAAACTGTAATTATCTTCTTTACAATAACATTTATTAAAATGTTCTCCATATATTTTAGACAGACTGTTGTGCATGCATTTAGAAAATAACTCAATTAAAATTGTATCGATTAGGCAAGTAAAAAAAACATCAGCCATTAGTAAAAATACTTAGCATTTAGTAAGTCTAAATTTTTGCTTTATTTTTGGTAAAACCTGCACAAAACCCTGGTTGTCCCAGTGTAACTCAATTAAGTTAATTCAACCATTTTTACAATTTTAAGTTGATTGAACACAAAACACTTACAAACAGAAAAAATTAAACATTAAATGTAGTTTTTTATAAAGGAAGTTATTCCAGAAAATGTACAAAGGAGCTTTAAAAAATATATGTAAGCTTGAATATTTAAGAAAAGAAAGGACTGGATCTTATTTGACTATTTTGGTATTTTATATCTAACAATGTAAGGAAAGTAAACAAAATATGACTTTAGATGAACAGCAAATTCCACTGTATTGTCAGCTTTCTCAAGTAACACCTTCTCGCAGATAGCAAACATACCCCAAGTCACAGGAAAATAAAACTTTAATATCAAAATACTTAAACACTTTAAAGAAAACATCAATCAGTGTTTTCCTTCAAAATACACAATATAAACAATGACTGTTCTTGTATAAATACATCAATAAATTGATATAAGTGAGCTGCACAATAAATAGTTTCAGCATTGATATCACAATGTGATTACAGTAGTCACACCACAAAGATATGCAATGTCCAGTCTGAGTTATAGTTTACCAGGAGCCACAGATTTGTATTTAATCACTGTATTTACATACAATTTATATGATTTTTGCAAAAAAAAAAAAAAAAACATTTCTTACTTAAAATTTTGTCTTGTTTCTTGTACGAATATCTACATTTCCAAGCTTTAATTTTCACAATTTATTTTCTGACGGGGAAAAATAAACTAATATTTTTACTTGGTCTAAGAATTGTTTTGATATTTGGACTAGAAACAAGACAAAACAAAGTAAGAAAATTTTTATTTTTTTGCCTTGTAATTATTCAGTTTCTCAACTTGAATACTGTTAGACTTCCCAGAAAACCATCAAACAGAGCTATTCAAACTATCTTGTGAAACTGTATTCATATCGCAGGATTAATCGCATAAAAATAGAATATCACAGTATCAGATGTTTAAAATATCATGCAGCCCTAATACTAATAAATACTTATTGAAAACTCTCATGGTGCGTCTTTTTCAGGCCACACTGACTCATTTACATTTCAGGGTATACACAGAATAAAACATTATTTTACGGTACACATTTAATTCGGTGGTAATGGATATATATATACCATCACACCACTCTGCCCTACTTGTTGCCATCATTGCTGAAGCTTTTATCATGTTAAACATATTAGTTAACATCACATTATTGACCTAAGCTGCAATAAAGTGTTACTTCAGCAGTTATGATAACAAAAAGAACTCTTCATTATAAATGTTCAGAGTAAACAAATGAGGTGAAATTGGTTTATCCAGTGCAATAGGTAACTCTTTACAATAAAATCTCATTAGTAAACAGTAGATAATGCATTAGCTAACATTAGAGCGTTTGGTCTGTTGATACAAGGGCAGTGTTGTATATCTTAGGAATAAAACCCTCTTTGTGTGGAGGAATCTCAGGAAGAGTGATAGTTTTTTCTGTCACTCTTTCAATTCATCCATTTACATAATAAAATTGATAATGTGGCTAAATCTTATTAATCACCCAACTAGCCTGTAATGCATTTGGATTTTTTCTGTAACACTTAATACACAAATACACTTGATTGAACATGTACACATAAACATCACCTATATACTATGTAACTGCAGGTTAACTATGCTATATATAACAACTTTAACTGTCAAAAGCTATTAGTTGCTAGTTAATTAGTTTAAGCTATGGTAACTAATACCCTTAACTTTGCTGATTTTGATTGTAATGTTATAATGTTCAACTTTTGTAAAGCTGCTTTGAAACAATAATTATGTAAAAAGTTCTATACAAATAAACTTGGATTGAATTGTTTACAGGCTTTAAACCGGGGAATCGCAGCAGTTAAAGAGGATGCAGTGGAAATGTTGGCCAGCTATGGTCTGGCCTACTCCCTCATGAAGTTCTTCACCGGCCCGATGAGTGATTTCAAGAACGTCGGGCTGGTGTTTGTCAACAGCAAGCGGGACAGAACCAAAGCGGTGCTCTGTATGGTCGTTGCAGGAACCGTGGCTATCGTTTTCCACACTCTCATTGGTTAGTCCTGCCAGTTTATCATTTTCCCCCTCCACTTCTGCTCTTGCATGACCAGTTTGTACTAAATGTTCAGGGAACACCGTTTTTGTTTTGCGCTTCTTTAAACAGATGAGTCAGGATGGGTATGCTAAGTGAACAGTGTTATGACTGGAGAAGGAGCTTTTCTTAACTCAAGCAGTCTTAAAGGAATAGTTCAGCCAAAACATTCCTGCTTATTTACTCACTGCTAGAATGACAGAGATTAACTTTGTTTTTTTTTCAGCTGAAGAGAAATCAAACATTTCAGAGGAAAACCTACTGAAATATTTCTCCAATTCATGTGAATAAAGCTCAAGCCCAGTTATAATTTTGAAAATCCACATTTAGGCAGCTGCAAAATAATCCACACTACCTCAGCTAATAACTAAGGCTCTTCTATAACAAATTGACTAGACTTTTTTAGAAAAAATAAAAAATAATTTTAACTACAAATCGATCTAGCTTACGATTTATTGTGTGACTGAGTAAACTACATAATAATAATATAAATAATGTAATTTAGAGCCGTGTTTCTCAACCATGTTCCTGGAGGACCACCAGTTCTGCACATTTTTAGTGCATGTTTCTTAAATCCAGGAATGCAGAGAATGGACTTTTCATGGAGACTGTTCTTGCTAGGTTATCTGAGAAGAGCGAACTTAGAAGACCATGAGAACAGAACGCTTCCTGTGAGAAATGAGATGCTGCGTTCTTCCTGGTGGTCACATGACGTTCACGCATTATTAACAAAAAATTATTAAAAACATTACAGGATTCATACAGCGATTTATTGTTAACAAAATTGCCTTTTTATATGAATTTCAGCAAATAAACACCCTTAATGTGTTTATATCTTTATTACAATTTTTATTTTAATGTTTACTTTCACTTTAATAATAAGTGTATATAAAATGCTGCGCTTCTTACCTCCTTTGTTCAGCTGCAATGACTTCTGGGATGTCTCGAGCAAATTTGTGCTCAAGTCTGCATCGCAGCATCCTCGATATCAAGAACACATTTGGGATCTTTAAGACACAAGATCGCTGAAGATCATGCATATTAAGAAACAGCAAGACTGCGTCCGAAATCGCATACTTTACCATATATATATATAGTAGCTATATAGTAGCTATATAGTTCTATATAGTAGCAAAAATCAGTCTGTGAGCCAAGTAGTATGTCCGAATTCATAAAATTTGAAAACCAGTATGTGAGAAGTACCCAGATGACTTAATACTTTTGGCAAGATTCTGAAGTGCGCATCAGATGGATGCTATCCTATCCCATGATGCCTCGCGAGAGAATTCATGAATGAAGCAACGCAACTCACTCAAAGACTAGAATACACAAGACTTGTCACTCGTATCTTAATAAATGGGAAAAAGTGTAACGGTCAATATGGTGAATAAAACCCGCCTTCTAGTACAGGAGCCAATCATTATATGGCACAAATTGTTACGGCCAGCTCGCTCCCGACCGTACCATAAAAAGGATCAGACACACAAAAAGATATATATTGAAAAAAAAACATTTATTAAAGGGAATAATAAAGTATAACAAACTGTCTAGGGATTTGAAATAAATAAGAAAGCAGGTGAAATTCTCTCAACTAATACAAAACAAAACATAAGACGGCAACACAAAAGAGTTGGAGCAAAATGACCTCTCTGTGGAATAACGGTCCACCAGAGGAAGTGCCGTTCTTCACAAAAAATTCAAATATATACTTTCTCCACCCATAAATTAACTAATTAACGGTGACGTCACATAGCGAGGCCACCGAAAGGTAGGAAAGAGAAGACAGGGTCGTAACAAAATCAATTGCAAAATGGCGAATAAAGCCTGCCTTTTAAAACAGGAGCCAATCATCAATCGTTAAATGGCGAATAAAGCCTGCCTTTTAGAAAAGGAGCCAATAATAGATCGCTAAATGGCGAAAAAAGCCCGCCTTCTAGTACATGAGCCAATCATCGATCGATTTAGACTGACAATACTCTGGGGGAGGGGCTCAGACTAGATGTGAGTTTCTGCAGATTTTGTCTGATTTGGACATTTAGAAATGAAACTAAAGAGACAGTTGTTGTTTAATTTTATTGGTGATTACTAATATGAAATTCAATCATAAGCTTACAAAGCTATTTTGGAAAATTTGATGTTTCCTGATTTAAGCAAAATGCCCGAGCATACTGCATGAGAGGCGTTTTAAAGACGGACGTGGACTTTGACTTACTTGGGTAGGTCACGTGATTTTGACAAAATGGCGGATTTAGTACGTCTAAGTTTCATTACTGCTCACCTTCATACGGTATAGAATGTACTTTTCTAACGGCCGAGTAGTACATTTAATTTCAAATGCAGTACCTACTAAGTAGTAGGCAGTTACATATGCAGCCCCAGTGTCTCCTTAACCAAACACACCAGATTCAGATCATCAGCTCATTAGCAAAGACTGACAGACTTGTAATGGGAATGTGGCTGAGAAACACTGAGCATTTAGTTGCTGAAACTGACAATAGGCCAATCAAAATTGCACTAGTTTTAGACAAAGACTATTGATTTGGAATTAATATTGGAAGAAATATGTAGATATGTATATTTTACACAAAATATGTAGAAATATACTAGAGCTGTACGATATTGGAAAAATCTGACATTGTGATATTTTGTTTCTATACAATATTAATTGCGAAATTTCACCTGATAGCTTGAATATCTCTATTTGGAAAGTAATCCTTACCTTAGACTGGTTGGGTTGATTTTGTAAGGGAAAATAATACAATAAAGCAATGAAAAGTGTCAAAGAAATAGGGATTTTTGGTATTCCGGAGAGTCAAAACAGTATTCAATTACAGAAATTAAATAATGATATCCAAAATAACACTGCATTGTCTACACTGTAATAGTAGTTCAGTAAAATTATTATTCTTTAAAGTTAGAATGTACTTTGTTGCACAAAAATGCTTTAAAGTCTCTAGAAAAGCCTTTAAAACACATGGAAATTTTTACTCTGTTATGATTATACTTTGCAATGACTCCACAAATCTCATGTATTCCCAACTGTTGTGCTGATCAACTATAATCCCAACTCAACACTGTATATCCTGCGATGTGACTGTTGTGGACACACATTGCGATTTGGATGCTGAAACGATATATTCTGCAGCCCTAGTATATACCTAAGGTCTGAAAACAATAGTTGATTAAATAAAGCAATATTGACTTATTAAACGCATTTTAATAATAATATGTTGCTATATATGACAGATTCAAAGATCTGATAAAAAAAACAATGAATTTTTTCCATAGCTGTATGAACATTGGGAAGGACCTGTGTGAAAATCATGGCCATGTAAAGGATCAGAAAATGTATGTTTTAGGGTGAACAATCAAGCCAGATGATTATTCCCTGGGAAACTCCTTGCACTAAAGAACTTTATACTTCAAGCACATCCTCTGCTGCTGTGTTGACTGAAGGGCTTTTTTTACAGGTTCCTACATGCCTGTTTTGTATACTCTCTTTGAATGGTGAGGCCTCTTTTAAACAACCATACCCAAACTCACAAGGTTTCATTGCCATCTATTTTCAGATCTTTGTTCACTCTGTGTTATTATATTGTCATTAAACAAATTGTTCAAAATACTGCACTCCTACTCAGCAGGACATAAGTTCTGCCGCCCATATTTACCAAATTACAAATGCTTAAAGTATGTGGGATGTGGTTAAAAACAGTCCAGTTAATCTTAAAACTATCTATTTATACAGTCTAATAATAAATGTGTCAGTAGAATAAAGGATATTTTCCTGGAATACACATATTTCTCTAAGCTACATACATTTGCATTTATACAAATATCCATTCGCATGCAAAACAAAAAATCAGAGGCATTTCAGCTCTCTTCAGTGGCCATATGGCACTTTCTGCTGTGAGTACAGGGAGAAGGAATGTTTTCATAGTCACCCGAGGGATATAAGATACAAACCACCAGCCTTTTAGAGGAGGGGATGAATTTTTAACCACCAAGCAATCACCTGCCCACCACAGTTAATGATGTGCTTTTTAAATGAAGAACTCGCAGTCTGTTAGAATAACATGTTCCCTCTCTGTCATCTTGTGTGCGGTCACAGACGTTTTTATGCTCATTTGTGCTGTCAGTGAGAAGGTAGAGCTGTCTAATCCATCTGTGGATCACGTCACAGTTCGCATTCCTGAGAAAACGTCTTGTTTTTGCATGCTATACTTACCAATTTTAGCAGCAACGTCATATTATATTATATTATATTATATTATATTATATTATATTATATTATATTATATTATATTATATTATATTCAAATAGTGTACACGCAAAATAAGCGTTATGGGTCTTATTATACACCCAGCGCAATAAGGTATAAGACGTGTTTGGCATGATTTATTGCTATTCTCAGACCAGCAGAACTCTAGTTTTCACGTTTTGCACCATGTTGTTTAAATAGTAAATCCATTTGTGCCACTTTGTGGACTCATGGGTGTGCCGATCTATAAAGGAGGTATGTTAAGGCGTATTGTTGGTGCGTTGCTATTTTGAAGAACTGAAATAGACTGTGCCATTGACCAAGTAAAAGCTGGTGTAAAGTCCAACGCAGAGCACTTTATGCTCCGATGCAGGTCCAAAATGCTTACACATTGGTTAATACACGCAGGATGTACAGCAATACACAAATACCTTTACATATGAAGAAAAATTTAAGGACTAAAATGTCAAAAAGATTATTATTTTCTACACAAATTTAAAAATTACTGCCTCCATGCCTTCTTCATCTCTGAGGGCTTTTTCAGTTCATTCATGACAATTTGCATCATATAATGTTATTATTATTAGCATTATAATTTATTATATGCATATTTATATTTGTTTTAATAAAAACACGTTTAGATTGATCCACCTGTCGGGATTTGGAGACGTCTGCATTACCATATGGGGCAAAAGAATAGGACGTCTGTTTGGATATAACTCCATTTTTTGACCACACTTCGTTATTATTGTTCATTTATTTGCTAGAAATTAGAACTTAATTTAGAAACAGTTTTGAAACAAATCTTTGTGCTTAATAAACAAAATTATATATGTAGGCTAATGGATGTCTTCAGCAGAGTGCGTACAACACAGTTTCCTTATCCACAAAAGTAAAGGAGTAAAAAGTAAAAATAAAGTAAAGAGAAAGTAAAGGGTGAATAGAGGAGGCTTGTTTTTTATCCTCGAGCTGCAGATGATCTGTTTAATTGGTTTCTCGCTAGTAAAACATTAAGAGAATAAGCGCAACCCTGTTAGACCATGTGCCAGGGTGCAAAGCATATTTTTCCATCCTTAAAATAGCAAAAGTGGATTTGGACACGCCCTTAATGCTTTTGCGCCATGCACTTTAGATTTTGCGCCTAGATCGTTAACATAAAGCCCATCATCTTTGGCATTTCATTAAAACCAGAGTCAATTATCCCTCTTTCAGTATGGCTAAAAAAGTGGGACTTGCCTCAACATATTGGCGGTTTTAGTATCAAATTAATTTACCTATTATTACACTCCTAAACCATTGAATGAAGCAGCAAACACACAAACCAAGCAATATATTACACTTCTTTATCGAAATATATCTCCAAAAACACCAAGAGTTTTTAAAACTAGCTAGATATTTTGATAACTTTTTATTAAAACTTGTCATCGCAAGCTATTTGTGCCAGTTTTATAACCTGATCTATCATGTTTATTGTTTACATTATTTCATAATATGAAACATTGTGTATTAAATCATTGATGGTAATACGTATTAATTTTGCTCTCGCTTTGTCTTTTTTAGCCTACACAAATCTGGGTTATTACATCATCAACAAACTGCATCATGTGGATGAGTCTGTGGGAAGTAAGACCCGGAAGGCGTTCCTGTATCTGGCTGCTTTTCCTTTGCTTGATGCCATGGTGAGTGTGTCGTGACGTTTCAGCCCTGGAGAGATTCACTCGTAATGTCATAATGTTGGATCTGGCTCATCTGCTTGGCACAGATGGGCAGAGAGTATGTGTGTGCAAGCGTGTGTGTGTGGTAAAGCCAACCACCAGAGCCTGTTCAAATCTGGAAAACCATCAAGCTGCTTTGGATGAAAAACAGCTCACGCGGAACACCCTGTGCCTCTCAATGAAGGTTAAACTGGCGAAGGTGTTTAGTTTAAAGTATTAAGTCTCTAGAGAGCGTACCCATTTACCAGGAGCTCTGTGAATAGCTTGAAATTCAAAGTATTTTCATGTGAACAAATGGAAATTTGATAAATAAATATTAAGGTAAAGTTGAGGTATTTATTTATTACCAGTCATAATGTTAAAATGTATAATTAAGATGCAATACACAACCATTCAAACATTTAAGCTCATTTAAATGTGTAAAGACATTTTTATTCAGCAGAAACGCATTAATTGTTTGAAAGTAAATAGACTTCTAATGTTACATAAGATTTTAATTTCACATAAATGCTAACAGGGCGACACAGTGGCGCAGTAGGTAGTGCTGTCGCCTCACAGCAGGAAGGTCGCTGGTCTGAGCCTCGGCTGGGTCAGTTGGCATTTCTGTGTGGAGTTTGCATGTTCTCCCTGCGTTCGCGTGGGTTTCCTCCGGGTGCCCCCAAAGTCAAAAGACATGCAGTACAGGTGAATTGGTAAGCTAAAATTGTCCGTAGTGTATGTGTGTGAATAAGTGTGTATGGATGTTTCCCAGAGATGGGTTGCAGCTGAAAGGGCATTCGCTGCGTAAAACATATGCTGGATAAGTTGGCGGTTCATTCCGCTGTTGCGACCCCAGATTAATAAAGGGAGTAAGCTGAAAAGAAAAAAAAATGAATGAATAAATGCTAACAACAGTAATTAGAAAAGTTTATTGAGCAAGAGATTAGCTTATTAAAACAAAATACAATAAATAATATAAGTTTTATATTGAATTAAAACGCCTTGCCTGAATGTTTAAAATAAATTAAAACTTGGGGTGAAGTGGAAAAAAAAGGTTATTTGGTTTATTTTAGCTTATTTTAACACAGCCTGTATCTAACTTGAGCTCTCGTAAGAGCTAACATAGCTTACATATTTGTACATTGTTAGCATGTCCACATTAGCCATGTGTTATGCCACCATAGTGTTTTTGCTAACTTTCTTAGCACTGTTAACAGCAATTCATTGTGAACTAGCATGTTGCTAATGAATTAACACGTAGATAGTATGTTTCTGCTGTGTTGTAACAGAAGCCCAACATTTTGCTAATGGGACTTATCGTGTTGCTAGTATGTTTTCAACATGTTCAACATGCTACTGGTGTTTTTCTATAGTGTTTTATCTGCTTTTAGCTTAATAATTCTCACTGAGCACAGTCTTTAAATTTTCAGCCAGGCAGCCCAAGAGCTTCCAGTGAACTGTCACAAAATTGTCTTGTTTAAGATCTGAATACTTAAAATCAGCGATCTTCTATGCTGTTTGATATACAAAATAAAGTGGGTCTCAGATCGAACAAGGAGCACTGCATTGAATTTCAATTTCTCTCCGCCATGTCTTTATAATATGAGTTTATTTTACCCCAGTATTTTCAATGGAATTTCTGCTCTAACCTGTTGCTATTGATGACACTATTTGTTACGAAGGTGTTTCATCTTGTTTTACGCTTGAACAACTAAATGAATGCTTAAGTTTATTTAACCGAATGTATTGCAAATACATTACAACATCGATGCTGTAAAAGCAACTTTGTGAAATTTAAAATAGCTACATTAAGCTTTCACCGGAAGTTTATCGTTGGCTTTAAAACTCTAGCTGTGCATAGAGCAGATTCTAGTATGAACTAGCATGTTGTTAAAATTTTTATCACATGGCTAAGATGTTGTTGCTAGCATATTTAGGTCATAGTTAGCATGTTGTTGTCTGAGATGGGAAGTAACGAAGTAGAAAACACTTTGTTACTGTACTTAAGTAGATTTTTCTGGTATCAGTACTTCACTACTTATTTATTTGACAACTTTTTACTCTTACTTCTTACATTTTTACAAAAGTATCTCTACTTTCTACTTCTTACATTTTTAAAACCACAATCGTTTACTTTGGTTTCAGCCGAAAAACTACATGCTGAACGCTGTGAGTTTGCGCAGGATGATAATACATGGGCCGCATTTTTAATCAATGTTGTAAGTCTATATTGCAGAGTTTGATGCTGCTTTCATAAATTTGGCAACAAACATTTTACATAAAATTGGAGTCAGTTATTTTATATGTATTAATAGCATGTGAGGACTAGTTACCTACTTATCCTCACTCACTATCCTTCAGCTGCGTCCCTAATTTATCAGGGGTCACCACAGCAGAATGAACCGCCAATTGTTCCAGCATATGTTTTGAACAGCGGATACCCATCCAGCTGCAACCCAGTATTGGGAAACACCCATCACATTTACACACACACTTAAACACTACTGCGAATTTAGTTACCTATTATTCACCTATACTTCATGTTTTTGGACTGTGGTTGAAACGGGTACTTTTTATTTTTTATCTTTTGTACATTTTTGAGGCAGTACTTCTTTACTTTTACTCAAGTACAAAAGTGTAGTCAGTACTTTTAATTTTATTAGTGTTAGTGTTTTTAAACATAAGTATCTGTACTTCTACTTAAGTAAAGGATGTGTGTACTTTTGCCATCTCAGGTTGTTGTTGTCTTAAACTATATTTTATGACAAATGCAGTTGTATTTGTAAAGCTTTACTGAATTTTCTCCTGATACTCACATTGAGGGATGACATAGGCAGAGCGAACAGTTGTGTATACAGTAACAAAACCATATGACTCAGGAATATGTAACTTCAATCACTATAATGCTGTGTACTGCATGTAAGTACAATAATATGACACTGTAAAAGTAAAATGCATTATAAATATATATAATATAATATGAAACAGAGTTGTATAATATGCATCATTTCGTCTCCATCTGTGTCCATTAAATGAATCTTTGTGCTGGATTACTGTTTCATATTGTTCAGATATATTGACAGCTGATGTTATATTCTGAATGTGGTTTCAGGCATGGACTCATGCTGGAATTCTTTTGAAGCACAAGCACAGTCTCCTTGTGGGATGTGCCTCTATTTCTGATGTCGTTGCACAGGTAAGGGAACGATTAATCAGTCAAGATTTCATTGATTGATCATTTTACTGACTGTATGCCCAATTATCATACAAGTTGATATTCTCATCATATTTTCTCCCCAAGCACTTTTTACCAATTCCAAACAGCACTAATCTTTTTAGCTATTATTAATTTAGCATGAAATCAATAACTTATGTTTAATATTTAGGTAAAACTGAATGCAGAAAAACAAACATTTTATATAGATGTGCGTATTTATCAGGTAGATTTTCTTTCACTGGTGAAATTGTCAAAGAAATTAGATGTAAAAGTCCACAATGGCCATGTGAAGGATGCAATTGTATAGAAACTGTAAAATGAAGGTGAAACCAGGAAATGCTCACTGAGGCATTACGGTAAAAAAATAAATAGAGTTTGAGAAGAAAATATTTTTTTATAATAAAGGTAAAGAATTAATCTCCAGTTATACAGTTTGACCAGAATTAAGCCTTGTGTACACCTGGTATTAAGATGAATTTGTATGGACAACAAGGATAACTGCAGGTGTAGACCATACTGTAGTTGTAGATAGGAGCTTGATCTCTTTTAACTGCATCGTGAGGTGGTCACAAACACATATAGTCAGATTGCTGTTGTTATAAGATTTTATTTGAGATAATATGCTGTACAAAAATTAAGTATAATTTAATATATATATATATATATATATATATATATATATATATATATATATATATATATATATATATATATATATATATATATATATACATAAATATTGTTAATTTTGTTTAAAAATTCACAGCTATTTATTAAAAATTTTCATTTGCACAAATAAGGTTTATTACTATATTTTTATATTTTTACTAGATTTTACTTATTCTTTTCAAACAGCATCTCTCATGCAGCGCCTGTGAACTGGCATTTGTTTTGTGAGATACAGTTTTGTGAATGTCTTATTTAATGTATAAAGTCATTTATATGTGGTTAGTATCTTTTTCTATTCAAACCAACATACAGGGGCGCAATTTCAGCCACCAAACTTGTTTCACGTCATTGCACTTTTCATGTGATAAAAATTCCCATTCCCTTGAACCGTAAAGACACTCAATATGATTACTTTCAATGTTTTAAAATATGGGTTAAACAAATTTAAATGAAGACATCAGTGTTAAAAGTTTTTTTAACAGTCTAAATTTTGTATTAGGAGCTCATCAGAAAAAAACACAAATTACATATTACATTTAACAAGTACTGTGCTAATTACATTACTCAATGCATTAATTATTCATGAAGTGTATTTAATATCAGGTATAAACAGGCTGTCTGAATATGATACCTTCGACTGCTGAAGACTCCCGAGTGTTAAATTTTGGGAAAACACTGCCAGTTTCAATGCTATTGAAAATAAACTTGAAACAAAAGCACAGTTCTCAGAACTGAAAAAAACCAGCACACATAGGCTTCAAAACTATGAACTTTAAGAGTGGTCTGTCACACGGGTTTTTAGCATTTTGGCTCTTCATTGTTTTCTGTTTTTAAATCGCAGGTGTGCTGAGTCATTTCTGTTTTCAGTTTCTATTGTATTGTGAGAATTTCTTAATTTCATTTATTACTTTATTTATTTTATTTATTATTTATTATTATATACATTTTAGTCAAGTTTTATTTTTAGGCCAAATTACCTGTAAAATCAAACCTGCTCTGTAATTGTGCAGATCTGAATATTAGGAGTCTCTTTTTTTACTATTTAATAAAGGACATGTGTAAATGATCAATATATATTGATCTGTTGTTAAGTTGGTAAAATTTTCTTGGGGAAAAATGGGGAAACCATTACTATGGTTGTGTATGAATGACCGCCGAAGGAGATAACAATTGGTAATTTGTTTAGTACCACTTTATGATGGTCCATTTGAGTATTAGTAGACTATCTGCTTAATATCTGTTGATACTGCTGCTAAACAAACATTTAACTGACTATAAGAAACTTTGCAAGAACATGTCAACTTACACTAACCCCACCCCAACTCTAACCTTAACCTAACAGTCTACTTATAATCTAATGAGAATTAATTGCAATGTAACTTAAATTCAACAAATGGATCTTCAAAATAAAGTGTGACTATTTGTTTTTATTTGATAATTTATTATATTTTTATGATTTAGTCATTATAATTATTTTTTTTTCTCTCTCTCTGTCTCTGCATAGATTGTGTTTGTGGGTATTTTGCTCCACAGTCATCTGGAGTGTGTGGAGCCCATGTTGATCCCAATCCTCTCTCTGTATATGGGCGCCTTGGTACGGTTTACAATTGTTGGTCTGGGATACTACAAGGTCATTCATGACAACATCCCAGAATCCAGTGGGCCTGAGGTTGGGGTACGTCCAGTGATGCTCTTTTAGAGCTAGGTATCGATTCAGGTGTTTTGGTTATTTTTGTTTGGATTTGATTCTTTTATTGATACTCAATTTTATTCAGTGATTTATGGATTTACCACATATTGTGATTTATATTTATACAAATGATTAGTGAACTCTTTATTTCAGGTTCATGTGTGCAAATAAACAGAGTCCACCCCTCTATTTCAAATTGAAAGAATAATCAGGGGGGGTTCAAGGTCTTAGTAGCCCCTATTATATATTAATGCATGTTTTATAGTTCGTCATCTTAGAATTATAAGGTTCTATCTGACATTTTTGTCAAAATTGAGTTATTGACATATTCTTTTTAAATGACAACTTATTTACATTATGGGATGTTTTTTTTTATAAATTGTTTACATTTTAAGACTTTTTATTTAAATAACAAATGTCACGCACATACTGTTTGCTATATGGAATGCAAAACCTTTGAGGCTCAATATCTCAAAATCATTCAGACTGCAGATAGAACCTTAAAATTCCAAGATCACGAGTTATAATGGTAACACTTTACAATGAGGTTATATTAGTTAATGTTAGTTACTTTACTAACATGAACACACAATAAATGTACATTTATTACAGTATTTGTTAATGTTTGTTAATGTTAGTTAATGAAAATATAGTTCTTCATTGTTCATGTTAAATCAGTGCATTAATTAATGTTAACAAACATGAATTTGGGTTTTAATACTGCATTAGTAAATGCTGAATTACCAATAATAAATGCTGTCAGTAAATACATAAACTAACATTAAGTAATGAAGCCTTATTGTAAAGGTTAACTATAATAATTATAATACCTATAATTGTGAGTAAAACAGTTATCCTATACATCTTCATCAGGGAAAACAAGTAATCCAAAAAATCTTTTCCATGTATGAGTATTTTTTTTCATAAACAAATTCAGAGTATAAGACACTATACATTTAATGACTTTTTGACTTTTACATTAAAGTGTAAAAAATATATGTACAGAAAATACTTATATACAAAAAGAACTGTGTGCACACTGAGTTTTTTGATAGTGGTTTAAATAACATTATTAGGCTGATGGCGCTTTATTTCTGGCTCTTTACATAAATATTCAACAATAAGGGCATTCTGACACATAACTATGTATCTAACTATTTAATTTTCCATTAAGCCACAAAAGTGACGTAAACAGCTCTTTTTCTGTGTGATGCTTTGGGGGTTGTGCCACAGTAAAGTGTAACGGGTATTAAACCTTAAAGGACCAAACAATTAAAATCAGAAGATTACTAAGAACGGGAAAGGAGGTAGTGGTGATGCTGAGTAACTCACAGAGACAAACAGGTATGTTGCACAACGTTGTTCTGTATTAAATACACACACAAAAGAAATAACAATAAAATAAACACTAATTAAAAATATACCCCGGGTGCACCCTTTATATGACGCTGTAAATTTTGTTAAATTCACAATTTAACAAATAGATGAGAGTTCAAATAAATCAGCAATTTCCAAATTGTTTTGTTACATGTAACCAAATAAAATCTTTCCAAATATATCAAGTTTCAAATCCAGGAAGATCAAAATAAAATAAATGAATTATTTACTTCCAACTGTCTTTTGGGTACTCACAAAATGTCCTCCTCTTGGAAAAAAAAAGACAAACAGTCTTAAGGATCAAATCCTCTTACTTGAGTGAAGGGAAATAGTGAAAAAGCAAGTGTCCTTTTTCCCTAGAAGTCAGTCCTTTCCTGTAGGTCCACTGAAACTGCACTTGGGAGGCTCGCCATCAACCGAGAATCGCAAGAATTCCAAAATCCAGCAACAAAAAAAAACCTGGCCTGTTTTCACAGACCAGAGCAAATATTCAGTATTACAATATGATAAAAAATATATACATAAAGAACAAAATAGCATAAAAACATCCACAAAACATATACAAAAACTACTGTCATAACAAATAACATTAATTTCAGTTACCTGTTCTTCTAATGTATTCTTTTTTTAATTCCTATCAGGTACACGTGACCACAGTGATGTCTGTGAGCTGTAGTAAATAATAAAACACCATGCGGTTTTATAACCTTGTGATAATGGATAATTCTTCCATTAAACAGAAAAATACAACTTTCTATCACTTCTTAAACATGAAACTAATAAAATATTATCACATTCAACATGTTGTCACTCAATATGTTTCTATTATTTTAGCAATAAGCTAATGATGAACTCACCGAGTCAAAATGCATCCATCGCGCTCAAATCAGCATATATCTACTCAATCCCTCGCCATCCTCGTGCTATAGACTTATATTTTTAACATTATATTGGTTTTAAAAGTTTTAACTTATGTATTTTTGCTATATTTACTTTATAATCACTCGGTTTTCCTTTCTGTCACGCTGTGTGTCTCTTCCGATGCTTTAGTAATATCCGCAACCACAAGGGGGCGGAGATGAGCATCCAGCGCTCTCATTTGCTGACTTAAGACTGCTGACAGCCTGACACCCAATCAGAGAATTATAACTCACATATACATGTTTTAACATTTTTTATACATTTTATTTTAATACTTATTTTAGCATCAACACTTTAACACTTTAATAATGATGATGAGGTGTATATTTATTTATTATTTTATCTGTTTTATCTAATTTTATTTGTCTTATCTATTTTATCTATCTTATCTGTTTTATCTACTCCCATTCATTATTTTATGGGGGTTACACCTTCCCCTCTTGAAACAATGCAAGTCCCTTTGCATGCTCTGAGCGGTTGGGTAGTCACTATGTTTGCTGGAATGTCAGAAGTTATAGGAGAATCACCCAGATCTTCAACACTATTGAGAGAGTTAACAAGAGCAGTGCTTAATCCTTGGAACAGAGACTGAACAACATGAGACAGAGGATTTCCAAGCTGAAAGTAGGTAAGTCTCTCAGGTTTGTCTCTCTCCCTTGCAGAACGTCTTAGTGGAGGTATTTCTTGTTCTGATTGTTGTTCTTCTCTTTCACAAGAAACAGAGTTTTCTGAATCATTTGCCTCTTCAACTTTACTCTCTCTCTGAGTGGGTAAGTCTTTACTGTTATCAGTTTCAGGTTGGTCTTTTCCAGGTGTCTCAGTTGTTTCACAGACTTCCAGAACATCATCAGATAGGTTATCAACTGAAGAGTGTACAGGTGCATTATAAACTGGAGGATCATTGGCTGGAAGATCATCAGGTAAGTTGTCAACTGGAGGAGTTACAGGTAGGTTATCATTTTGAGTTCCTTCCTTGCATTGAGTTCCATTTCCGAGGTTTTGACCAGCTGATTCATCAGCTAAGGACACACTCTTCCCTTTTACTGGTTGGGGAACATCATACACTGTAGAGAACTGCAATGGTTCCACATTTTGATGGTTATCACCATACCACTCATAATCCTCATCTTCTGGACTAAGGAAAGAACAATCCTCATCAGGTTGTTGGAAACCTGGATTCTGCCTTGTTCTAGGTCTTGACCTTTTGGGTGGGGAGGGGTTTGAACTGTTTGACAATGGCAGGTAACCACAAGGAAGAAGGAGGTCCCTATGAAGGGTACGAAGGGGACTTTCACTGTTTTCAGGATGAACGGTGTAGACAGGTAAGTCGCCAGCCTTCTTTACCACCACATACACCTCAGATTCCCACTTGTCCGCTAACTTGTGCTTACCACGCAGTCTGACATTTCGCACCAGGACACGATCCCCGACCTCCAAAGAAGAATGAGTGACAGATTTGTCAAACCTGGTTTTGTTCTTTTCAGCAGTTTTCAACATACCTTGTGAAGCAAGCAAATAGCTTTCCTTCAAGTGTGATTTCAGCTGTTTCACATACTCTGAATGAGGAATGACATCTGATTTCCCATGATGAGGCAGACCAAAAGCAAGGTCAACAGGCAATCTTGGCTGTCTGCCAAACATCAATTCATAAGGAGTAAACCCAGTGACTTCATGCTTCGTACAATTGTACGCATGGACAAGTGGCTTGACAAAGTCTTTCCAATGGGCTTTATCTTTCTCCTCCAAAGTACCCAACATGCCCAGCAGGGTCCTATTGAAGCGTTCAACCGGGTTTCCCTGCGGGTGATAGGGAGTTGTTCGGCTTTTCTTTATGCCTGACACTTCACAGAGCTCTCTGATGACATGTGACTCAAAATCAGGGCCCTGGTCACTATGCAAGCGTTCAGGAAACCCATAGTGTGTGACAAAGTTCTCCCAAAGACACTTTGCTACTGTTTTAGCCTTCTGATTAGGTGTAGGATAAGCCACTGCATACTTGGTAAAAAAGTCCGTAATAACCAAGATATCTTTGGTATTACTCCTGTCAGGTTCCAATGAAAGGAAATCCATACACACCAGCTGTAATGGCCTAGTGGCATGAAAATTGACCAGAGGAGCTGCTTTTTGGGGTTGTGCCTTCCTAAGCACACAGCGACTACACTCCTTGACTTTTCGTTCCACATCTGCAGCCATTTTTGGCCAGTAGAAACGAGATCGAATCAGATCTACAGTCCTCTCAATCCCTAGGTGACCCATGTCATCATGTAAACTGCTCATCACCAAGGGTCTTAACTCCTCAGGGAGTACTAGTTGGTAAGTGAGTAAATTATTTTCCTGCCTTCTTCTATAGAGTATTCCATCTCGCAACTCAAGTCGATTCCACTCCTTTAGAAAAAGAGGAAAAGTTGGAATCTCTTTTCGCACTGTAGGAGAAGGTTTCTCCCCCAACTCCAAGTGGAAAATGACTTCTCGAAGGACTGAGTCTGCTCTCTGCTTTTCACCAATCTCATGTGGTAGGTAAGGCATAACAGGTAATCCATCTAAATTACAATCCTCTCCATACTCATCAGGTATAGCATCAGGACAGAGTGCAAGTGATCCCACCAGTGCAACCCCAGAAGCTGCGTCTTGATTGATAAGGTGCTTTTCGCAAATAGCATGAACTACATCATTTGGGGCACTAACAA